ATTATTTATTGACTAAAAGCGGTTTCATAAGTCAGGAAAAATGATTGGGTTGCTTAATGTGTATTGAGAAATAATAAAAGTCGAGTTGTTAGGAAATGTGAGAGAGATTGAGTACGTATATTTTATGCCTTATAGAGCCATTGTTAGCAAAAGTAAAGAAACAACCGAAGTTCGAATAGCCTTTAATTGCAGTTCAAATTCTAAAGATCCTTCTCTGAACGTTTGTTTGGAAACTGGACCAAAATTAAATTCAGATATTCTTCATTCGATTCAATTTTTTTTTATACCTAAACTCGCATATTTTTATAATGTTTTATTCGTATCCTGAATTATATATTTCTAAGACAATAATAAACATTATAACTTGAAGTTGGGTCAGAATATCGAAAGCATTTCCTTTGGTTAAGAAATTATTTTAATTTTCAATTCTAGTATTTAAAATCAATAAAAATATAACCTTTATTAGACGTTTATTCATATATTTTAAAATAAGTTCTCCATGCAAAAAAAATATTTCATAAAGAAATAGATATACTGAATAAACACACAAAAATTTTATGTTACGCTAAAATGCTTAAGTATGACAGGTGTACATATAAATTTTGCCCCGTAAAATATAACAGTGAGTGAAAAACAAATTCATTTAAGAAAATCTTTCCAAAAAAAGTCTGAAAGGATTCAGATTGTAGAGTTGCACCAAAGGGTTTACTGAGGTATTTTTATGCTTTTGCCGAGCATCGCAGGTTACCAATCAATTCTTGGACTCGCTCCTGAATAACACATTTTTTTTTTTTTTTTTTTTTTTGTCTGCTTAGATTTATTATTAAGCTTCGCATTTACATCCCATACAGTTCAACAGTAAAAACACAACATTTTTAAAAGCAGCATGGCAATATATGTTTAGAATTCCCGATACAGTGTTAAGCGTCGGCATACCGTTCTCAATTTTTTTCAGTCTTTTCTCAGTTCATCATAGCAATGTTCAGTTTTCTTACTAAGATGACTTACAGAATTTTGTGTTTTTATTATTAATTTTTGTGCGTTTATTTATAACATATGACATTCTTCCTACTCACACCACATAAAATCCAACAGCAAAATCATAAAATATTTAAAAACAGCATATCTTTAGAATTCTCGATACAATGTTAGGGTTTATCGTACATTATTTTTTTTTATATTTGCTATATTATTTCCTTGAAAACTAGCAGCTCAAGAGGCTAACCGTCTAAAAGAATTATCATAAAGCCCGCCAGCGGCCGAGCGGTAAAGTCGCTGAACACTGGTAGTTCGGTCCGAGGTTCGAATCCCGCGAACGGGCTGGCTGCATGGGCGTTTTCGTGGTTTTCCCCATGTGTAACGTGTATACGAGCCAGTTTCCATTAGAAAGTCCTCCACGAAGGCATACCTCCTCTTAGGCAGATAGCCCTCAAGGCTTTGCCATAATCACACACACACACACAGAATTATCATAAAAAAAGAAAAAGATACATAATTATTTAATGACTGCAGTAATGTTATTTCATAAAAATATTTAATATTTCTAATTACAGATCTATTGATTCAAATGCACTTTTATTTAAATCAATAAATTTAAAAAGTAAAAAAGTATTTTTAAGAAATGCATTTATTGTTTTTCAAATCACTTGGTTTACTGCTCAGTGACAGAAAGATTAAATTTGAAAGTTAAATATACTGAATAGTAACACGCTGGTTCGTGAGGATAATAAGTATTTTATTTGAGGCAGTGGCAACACATTGCTTTCAAATGTCAAAATTTGTGGATTGAAATTGAAAGAAAATATCTTACATATTGCGGAATGGCAACATTCTGGCGACCTGGCGATAAAAATATTACGTTTCGAACAATGTTTCCACTAAGCTTTTCCAAATCGCTGATTTAGTTAAACAAAAATTCGTTAAATTTTTATCTCTACATATAATAAAAGAAAGAGTCTGTCTGTGTGTGTGTGCTTTTCGTTTGCGCAGCACGTAAGCTAATAGACCCATTGCTACAAAATTTGGTACATAGGTGCATCTAGACAAGAGCCAGTGCACCTCGAAGCGATTTTTTCGAAATTCGAATTAGAATTTTCTTTATTTCATGTTTTGTGAGGAAATCGCCTCATTTTGAGACATAATGGGCTGTAGGAAAGCGAGATTTTACTCTACACACTCCATTTTCACATCGTCATGAAACGTAGGTACTTAGCTATTTTAAGAACTTAAAATAAATTTCGTGTTTTGATAAATCGATTAAATACAAATTAATTTATCAAAGTTAGCTTAACACCTTTTCAATGGGATTTTTTCTCTAAAAATGTTTATTTTTAAAAAGGTACAGTTTATTTTTCTTTGATTTTTGGACACGTTAAACTTTCATCTTTGCGACTGCTTTTACAAAAAGAATTTTGGAAAAATGATAATATTTTGTATTTTTAAAAAAATTTTTAAATCAAGCTTCCGAGTACACTTTTGACATCTCACATCTTTAAAAATGTGATTTTGGCAACAATTTTCCTTTCTTATTTTTGTTGATAGATTTTTGATGAAATCGCATCATTTTGAATAGTTTCATTCTTTTAGAAATACGGGTTTGGCAACAATTTTTCATCGTATTTCTTATGTCACTGTTTTTAAGAGATTGGCATATTTCCTTTTCATTTTTTATATATATAATACATTTTTATTTATTTATTTATTTATTTATTTTTATTTATTTATTTATTTATGTATTTTTGATAAAGTTGTTCTGCAGAGTAAAATTGTGCGCGGAATTTTTTGTTTTTTGAGTTTCTTTCATGTTATTTTTTGCTTATTTCACTGTTTGTAAGATATTGAAAAGTTTTGCATGATTCTTTTTCTTCAACGGAAAGTTGGTTAATTTTTTATTAGGATAATTAATATTTGTATTAAAGGATATAAGTTATTTCATTGTAATTTTCTTTTGTCTTGAAAATATAAGATAAAATATCATTAATTATACTTTGCTTTTCAGAATTTTTTGTTTTTTGTATTCTTTTATGTTATTTATTGCTCAATACACTGTTTTTAAGATACTGAAAAGTTTTGATTGATTTTTTTAGGGAACAAAGTTTTTAACCTCCTTTATACCATTCGAGTTCTTAAGATTTTGCAAAGGGAAGTTGGTTAATTTATTTATTAGGATAATTAATATTTGTATTAAGGGATATTGCTTATTTCATTGTAATTTTGTTACACGTAATAACTTTTTTTATGAAGTTGTTCTGCAGAGTAAAATTCTACGCAGTTTTCAAATTTAATGTTTGGTGTTCCCTTCAGCCATTTTTTCAGTACATTTAAAAGCCAGACGAAGGCTGGCAGCGAAGCTGCTAGTATGAAATAAATTTAAAATAAACTCAAATTCAAAATTTGAGCTATGAGGTGCCAATGTTTGGGTGAAGGATTACGCGCATTAAAACTTCGGTGGCTCTTAGTTGAGTCGTTTTTACAGAATGTAAAGAAAGAACATGCATGCATACAGATTTTAGTTATTTATTCTTTAATAATGCATCGGGATAATATTTGGTGGCAATAATTCAGTATCATTTTTCTATCTGAATTCATCTTATCATGAATTTCTATCTTGATTCAGATAGAAAAATGATTCAGATAGAAAAATGATACAAAAAAAAGTGAGTCGAGATTAATTATTACACTATGTTCTACAATTCTAATACAATTATATGAACAGTTCCATACCATAATGTAATAAAATTAACAATAACTTTAATTGTCAATGTTAAACTTCATATTTAACAATGTTTCTTTCACAAACTAAACTTGTTTTTAATAGAGTATATCCTCCTCATCATCATTCGAAACTGTATCTGTCATATCACATATTTCATGTGTATTACAATTTTTAAACTTTGAGTTATAAGAAAGAAAAGGAAGGAAAATTAAGGGTACTGTTATGTTGTAAAAATACCTCGTGAAATATAAATTTCAATGTCGTATTTTCTGCAATACTTTTATGATACATATTTCTTAGTATCTTAAGTGACTTTTTAAGGGTTGGAAATGAAATCTCTTTTTAATAGATCTTGTTCTTCTACATAATGCAAACTTGGCTGATGAATTCTTGAAAATAAACAAACAATTTGGCCAGTTAGATTTTTTTTTTCTGAATTGAAGGACGGATGCGTAAATGAAGACAAACAACGCTTACTATTCTCGTTTTAGATACTCACTTCCAAATAAAATTGTTCAAACTTTTATTGAGATTTTGTTTATAACTACACAAAGAAGAGGTTTTAGAAATTTCCAAGCAATAATTATTCTAAAGACTGGTTTTATTGCTGAATAAATGGCCATTTTGAGTTGGTTCACATGTATAAATGCGCAACCATGCCTTTATTGAGACAAAAATTATACAAATAATAACGTATTTTCTCCCTCGTTTCAGTATGCCTTCGTAGCATAAAGGTAGCACACTTGGCGCGTATTCGAGAGGTCCAGGTTCGAATCCCGTAGAGAGCATTGCACATTTTTCACCAGCTTCAAAAGTAAAGCCTAATGACTCTAAAAAATTAGATATTTTTGTAATCAACAGAGCATCTTTAAGTTATAAACTGAGAAATGGGTTTTTGGAAGTAATTTTGTGTCTCAGCTCTCTTAACACTAATAGTTTTAAAGGCTTCACTTACATTTACAAATATTGCAAACTTTCTTATTTTGAAGAAAGCATACTGAAAATCTAAGGAACTTTTTTTTAAATATTTAAAAAAACAAATTCGTTTAACAAATTAAAAATTTTAAAAGGAAAGAAAATTAATACTTTATGGACGCATACATTAAATATCAGACTATCTGGCACACATATCCGATATATGAAATAAGACTACAAGCGTCTCATTCGGAAATAATCTGAAATGTTCGGTATATTTTTCGGGTCAGAATCATTATAGCTGAATGTCATGTAGCAAAATTCTTTTGAAATAGGGAAAGTAGAAATATTGATATTGATGATTGCTTACTCTGAATTTTTGAACTTGATGCAAAATGTTGTTTCAAATAATTCTGTAGTTGCACTTTTTGAGAATAATTCTGTAGTTGCACTTCTGTAGTTGCTTTCGGCCAGCTGTCTAAAATAATTAGTACAAGAAAGAAAAAAATATATAATTGTTTCAATGAAGCCAGCTAGAAAAATTCCACGGTTCCGGCTAGTAATTAATAATAAAAAGAGGAAAAACTGCTTTAATGCTTTTAAAATCGCTTAGTTTGTCAACCAATAAGAGATAGATTAAATTTTAAAAAAAAACTATCTTACAATTTATTGAATGGCAACATGCTGGCAGGTAGAGGATAAAAATATTTTATTTTCGGCAGTGTCAACATATTTCATTCAAAAAGCTGAGCATGTTGATTAAAGATGAGAGACACTCGATAGGCATAAGTCTTAAAACCTAATCTAGATCTTAAAACCTAATCCTAGTTGTTAGAGGTCTTTTTGTCGTCTCGATGAAATTAACCATTTTTAGCTTCTTTAAAATAATGAATTCTAAGAGAATTTCTTCTTTAACTGCAGTATCTTGCCGTGTTCACCTCAAATATGGAGCTATTAATACATTTCGCATGTTGAAATTATTACTTGTAAATGAGTAATAATTTCCAACTGTTGACGAAATTTTATGATTTATTTTCATTTAAAAAAAGTGATGACGGTAAACGTCGTCTGACAAAGCATCTCAACAAAACTTTCAAGTGTCCTAATTATAGTATATTATATGAATTATTATTTAACACTTTTTGAATAAAGTACAAAGAGTAAAATAAAGTATAAAAGAATATTTTCATGATATTTAATTTGCAACAATCTAGGCTTAAAATAGAGAAAAAATAGTTTATTAAAAAACTATTTTAGTCAAAAGATCCATGCAAATAACTTCCAATAACAGAAGTTTCCGAAAATAAATGCGAGCCTTGCATAAAATAAATGTAAACTGAAAGACAAGCAAAATGTTTTAAACCTTTTGTGAGTTAGAGAAATGTCATTTTCATATTCCATAACATTTATCTCTAGTAGTGAACTAATAATATAGTAAGGTAAAAGAGATAGAAAACAATATTGTTACGAATTTTAACATAGTTAGATGATTTTAGTGCAATTATATGTTAAAGTGTTGTATTTTTCTGTGTAATGGAAGGAGAAAAAAAAATTTAAGAGACAAGCTATAGCAAGAAATTAAGAATACAGGGGCAAGTGCATTTAGTATTAAGTAAATGGATATCTCGGTAATTTGGCGAGATATCGCCAAGCTGGCTTTTTGTCGCCAAATTTTCGCCATGTATTACCGTAATAAGTATTGTAACTGAATAAATATAGTTCATTACTATATTAGCTGCAATCGTAATTCGACCCTTATATTGTCTTGCAGTAATTTCGAGAAGCAGTGAGTACTAGAAATATCTCAACGGTCGGGTGAAAACTATATAAGGCCAGAGGGAGCATCTGCTGTTAGTTGTTATTATTGTTTTTGAGTTGTTAGTTTAGGGTGAACTGCGATATCTCCGGTTTAGCTTAATCTTTAAGTGCGTTTTACATTTCATTGTGTTTAACGTTCTTAGTACTTTGAAGTATAACTACAGCTTGTACTCTGTAATATTGTGAGCATCTGTACGAATATTTCTGGGGAATATTCCAAAACTTTGAAGTGTTTCATTTGATATAATTAAGCTTTATTAACCTCTCATCGCACCTGTATGCATTTAATTTATTACGAACCCGTACGTACGCAAAAAATATTTTTCTTCTAACTCTGAAATCTTACACAGATAAATCTTTCAGGCTTACATGCTAATAAAATAACCAAATACCTATTTTTAAACTTATTAAAATAGTGCGGAATAATAACTTCACTGCTAATTTATTTCTAACTTTTACCGCAAATACTGGAAAGAAATTACTTCGTCGTTGCCAACAGCCAAAAAAAATTTTTCCATTTCCACATTCGGATTTTATTTTCAAATATTATGAAAGAAACTAGATGAAGCATAACCTATTTTTCATAGCAATTTCTTAGACTTCTTTTTATTGCGTTAAAAGCCATCTCTTAAAAAAATAATCTTCTCGCCGCATTTAATGAAGTTATTTTGTGTAACGGTAAAATTCTTGGCTGCATACAAATGTAAAATTCGAATTAAAAAAGAGTGGAAGTTGAATTACTTTCCACAGGCAAGTCTGATAATTGCAAGAAAGATGTAAAAGGGCGCATTTTTAAATTATTTTCTAAATTTAGTTTTATTTAATTTTACAGAACTGAAATTCTGATTTATTTCTTTTAATAAAGTCTTTAAGGTTAACTAATAATTTTTTTCGTTACTGATTGTCTTCTGGATTCTAAAGTTGCAGTTTTAAAATAAGTAATAATATTTTCAAAAATACTGTTAAGACTGTAATTCCTGGAAGAATTATAGCATGAATTCTGCGTTTTATTTAGATAATGCGCACAGTTCTTCGCTGTTGTATATTATGTTAGATACAAATATATTTAAGCATACATTTTATGAATTTGAGATGTGTATATATATATATATATATGTGGAAATCATACCGTCCAATGCTAAATGAGAATTGCCCGTTATGACGTCATCAGTATACCATCACAGCCCAGCGCAGTAAGAATCATCCCAGACAGCGCTGAGACGTGGTCGAGAGTGGAGGGCAGACGTGAGCAGACGGCTCACACGTCTTCAAGAGTTTATAAAAGGACTGTTGGTGCATCATTATGTTAACCCTGCATACCGTTAACTTCATCTTTATATACTTTTCTTTATATACTTTTATTTCTTTCTATTAAATAAACCATTTAAATATTACTTCGTGCTCTCATGCTGTGAATCAAGTCAAATTCTACAAAAAAATATGGCGACCAACCGTGCGGCCTCGAATTCCAAAATGTTCGAGTAGTAGAACTGTCCTTTGAACTACTGAGTGAAAGTTATTCGATTTATTGGATTACTCGTATAAAGTGTGGATTACCCAATGACGACGATCATCTGTCGGGTGAGTACAAAACTTTCTTTCCAATATGAAATTAGTAGAAATTCCAGAATTGGAAGCAGCTTTAAAGAACAGTAAAAGTTCTGAAATCAAAAGTTTGCATAAGCTTATTTTTAATACTGATGGAGATCGAAATAACCGGAAAAGATTACGTGAATTTTCTGGCTTTATATTTAAACCAGATTCTGAAGAATTTAATAAGAAAATAGATACAGTGCAGAATAGTTTTACTTTGAATGGGTTAATTAAAATTTGCAATGTACTGTGCATAAATTCAGAAGGTTTAAAGACGGAAGTCGTAACCCGAATTGTCTCTTACCTATGTGATTTATCTGTATTATTTGAAAATATTTTGCATGAAGAAAATAGTGATATTGAAGATGAAACTATTAATAAATTTTCTGAAGTAATGCTTGATGATAATCAAAGAGACAATCCTGGTTTTAATGAGTCTCAAGTAAACAACAGTATGCAGCTTCCAATTCAAGATCATTTTAAACCTCATCTTAGTTTTTCTGATATTGAAAGTATTGTTAATCCTTTTTCATAATGCATATGAAAATAATTTTCATAATGCATATGAAAATGTTGATAAATGGATTGATGAATTTGAAGAATGTTATAAATTCTTTGAAATTAAGTGATTTGCATAAATTAGTTTTTTTGCTAAAAAGATCATTAAAAGGTAAAGCGAAAACTATTTATTCAGAGTGAACCTAAAGTTAATGACTGGTGTAAGTTAAAAAAGCTTTTGAAATCTGAATATGGTAAAGCTTTTAATTCTGCTGAGTTGCATGAAATGTTATGTAAACGTAAATTAATGCCTAATGAATCTTTAGATGAGTATTTTTTGAAAATGAAAGAAATGTGTTCGTGAGGTAACATTGAAGATGCTTCATTAATTAAATATGTTATTGATGGTATTCCTGATTCTCTGGTTAGGAAAACTATACTATATGGTTGCGAAACAATATCTGAATTTAAACAAAGGCTTAAAATTTATGATAAAATGAGATCGGACAATGATAAGTTTAAAAATCCGAAAACGAAAGTAGACACTCAAGTTAAAGATAGAAATAAGCTTTCGTCATCAAACCGAAATCAATCTAACGTTAATAAGGTCAAATGTTTTAATTGCCAGGAATTTGGGCATTATTCTAAGCATTGTGTAAACAAATCAAAGGGTGTAAAATGTATTTAAATGTAAGAAGTTTGGGCATTAAATCAACGGACTGTCCAGATCAGACCCCCGAGACACATCAAGCAGCTTTATTACAACGAATTTCTGACAAGGATAGAATTATGAAGACTGTAGAAATAAATAATAATTTAGTTGATAGTTTAGTTGACACTGGTTCAGATGTAACGATATGCAGCGTAGAGTTACACAAGCAGATTGGTTCTCCTAAGTTTAAATTGTAGCGATATCAACATTAAACGGAATTGAATCAAAGCAAACGTACCCCATCGGCTTTTTCATTTCTGATATTTCAATTGATAGTTTTTCACTGCGTACGAAAATTTATGTTGTTAAGTCATTATGTAATCAAATTGTATTAGGTTTAGATGTATTGAGTCAGTTTAACTTCTCTTTTACCGAGAATGGCCTTCAAATAATTTCTCATCGGAATAAAAGTAATGTAAACTTGATAACTGCTGAGTCATATCGAAATTCTAACGTTCGTTGCGTTATGGGAAATTTGAATATTGCTATCTCATTGAAGAATGCTTATGATCCTTCGCGATCGTCTGGCGTCTCTGTTAATGTAAACAAAAGTCCCGAAAGCGGAAGTAGCTCGACGTTTAATTACCTTTCACATCTGGTGAATGCTATTTCTGTCAACGAGATTGATTTATTGCATATTTCAAATGCAGAACATAAAGAAAGACTGTGTAATTTAATTAATTCGTACCAGCCTCGGAAAAATAGACAATCTGACTTCAAGATGCAAATAAATTTATGCGATGATATTCCTGTCTGTCAAAATAGAAGATACATGTCTTTCGCGGAACAAAAAATTGTTGACGATCAAATTAAGGAATGGTTGAAAGAGGGGAAAGAGGCATAATAAAGCCTAGCAA